AAAAAAAAAAAAAAAAAAAAGGTGTCACCCGCGAATGTCACCGGGGCTACCTAACCGCAAACCACACGTCGTCCCTACCGTCGTATTCGCGGCGATGCCTGCCGCTAGCCCGCCGGCGGGGGTGAGTTTGCTAGCGATTAGGCAGGGCGAGGTCACGTGATCGCTTCCCCCTGGTGTTTCTCCGAGAATTATCCTACAAACCACACGGCGGGGTCAGTACCCGTTTCTGGAGAGACGTGGGGACCTCGGCCACAGCCCTCTTTACCCCTCTCTGGTAAGCACCCCCCTGACGTCCCTCCCTCGTCAAAATTGGTCAGAATAATAAATTAAATTGTCGCCCTTCTCCTAAGACTGATGGACCAGTCTGTATACTCTACCCATTGATCCATCGTCAATACTACTAAATCTGTTCATCATAACTGAGAATACAAATGTCTTTGGATAGCTCTGGAAATTTACCGTTTACGTATGTTTGGTCAGCCTCAGACCTTCGACGGATTCTCCCCCGCGACGTAGCCGCTCCCTATGCGTAAAGCCACCAGCCTGAAATTCTCTCAGCTAGCCGCCTACTGCATCCAATGCTCCAATTACCTAATCATTGGTAGCGTCTGTTTGGTTCATCGCGGGGACTACGAGGATGACCATGGCCGGAAACACGGAAACGGTTCCGCTTCCTCGGTGTTCCACGCTTAAACTGTAAATACCACAAATTTCACTTCCTAATTGTCATTAGTGTCGCCAAGACCCGCTGTGGCGAATATTCCCTCAGGGCCCAGCGAAGCCCGGCAAAACGGTCACCAACGCTCCTCCCCTGGCGAGGGAAGCTCGAGACCAGGGCGCCACCTGGTAACCACAACGACAAATTAAACCTAAAAGGTTATTTCTAAGGGTCTCCACTTTCTACGATGGTAATCCTTCGAGGGTCAGATATCTCCGCGCCTGTTATAGTAACAAGGTAGGGTGCGCAGGCGCTGTCCCCATGCCAACCCCGTGGCGTCAACCACATCCCCAGGGAATCGCCGCCAAAGGCAGCAACTCGACCCGGGGGGGAATAGTCTAGGCGTACACGCGAGAGTGTCATCATGTATAGTAAAAACTATGGAAGGATTACAGAGAAAAAACGTTTGGTGAACTCATCAAAAGTTTTTATAGTGTGGTCTGGTCACGTGACCTCATCGCGATGAGGACGTAGCGCGCGCGCACCACCGCGAACAATTAGGGTTCACACTTCCCCCATAGCGCAATACGCCCATCCTATACGCCACTAAAATATGGGTAAATCCACAGCCAAGCTGGCCAAGCTGGCGAAGCTGGCCAAGCTGAGTACGCCCAAGACCAAGGATGTTTCCCGAAAACGACCAGAGTTCACCCCGGCCAAGATCGACGCCCTCGTGGCGCAATTAATCGACGCCAATGCCCTCAATAACCTCGTGGCATTGCTCGAAATGTGGCAAACTCATGTCCCCCTGGTATTGGCCCAGGGCGGCGACGACGAAGCCACCGCTCGCCACTTGGTTGGTGGCTTGTTCAAGCTGTTTAACCACTTAATCCGGGAAAACCGCATGGCCCTTCCCAAGCACAAATACGACGAAAAGAAGGCCGTAGCCGTCAAATGGCTTAACAAGCAGTACCTGACATTCATTGACAACCTTTTGCTGGTGGTACAACAGCTGAATCACGCGCCGTCGCTCACCGTCGACGCCTGTGATGTCCTCATGCAATTAGTGAAAGCCGAGACCGAGGCCCACTATACCGAGGCGTTCTTCGCTGAAAAGCCGTTAAGACGGGTACGCCAAGCCGTCCTCGCTCTGGAAAACCCCGCCGTGGTCGCGTGGTTCGCCGAGGAGTACTTATCGCCCTACTTCGACCTCAGATTCTACTGGTTCCACAACTTGGCCCCCGAGATCACCGAGGCGATGTTTGACAACTACCTCGTGCTTGTCGAGCACTTGAGAGAGCTTAAGGACCAGCAATTTGCCGAGAAACAGCTTCCGTCGCGAGTGGTGCCCGAGAAGTTCCGTGCCCATTTCCAGGAGGCGACGCTTGCCGTGCTCACTCTCCCTAAATTGACTCACGCACACTACCAGCGGATCATGGCCAACTTGCACAAGCGGATCATCCCCCACATGCACCAGCCCCACCAGCTCATGGACTTCTTGACCCACTGCTACCACCAAGGGGGCGACCTCCCGTTGTTGACGCTCTCGTCGTTGTGGGAGTTGATGAAGCACCACAACCTCGAGTACCCGGACTTCTACACCAAGCTCTACGCGCTTTTAACGCCCGAGATGATGGCGCTGACCTATAGACCCCGGTTCATGAGACTCTGCGAATTGTTCCTCAGCTCCACCCATCTCAGTGCCCAATTGGTGGCGCTGTTTATCAAACGGTTAGCTCGGCTTACGCTTACCGCTCCCGTGCCCGCGACGGTGGCAGTGGTGCCGTTTGTGTACAATTTGCTTAAAGCTCACCCGACGGTGATGGTGATGATCCATCGCCCTGAAGGCGGCGCCGACGAGTTTAACGCCGAGGAGACGAACCCGTTAAAGACGGGAGCGATCTCGTCGCTGGTGTGGGAGCTTGAAGCGCTCACCAGCCACTACCACCCGCACGTGGCGACGTTGGCCCGCATCTACTCGGAACCTTTCCGCAAGCTCCGCTACAACATGGAGGACTTCTACGACTGGGACTACTCCCAGTTGGTGCAACAGGAACAGCGGAAGCGTTACAAGGCAGCGGCGGCGCTTGAGTTCGAGGAGAGAGGCGTCTTTGGTGCCGGTAACTATCTTGAAGACTGGGTGGCATAAACTACGCTGACGACATCACTACCACCCCAAAAGACATGGTGAAATCTCGTATACTATGTGTCAATCAGAAGCAGCTTAGTCTCCTCCGTCATGACGAGCTAGGGCGACGACTGCTACTATTGATAGAAAGAACCGAAATACACGCCCTGTGCGGTTTCAAGTTACTCCAAGGGGTTCGATTCGAAATGGATAAAATATAATAATATTCACACTGTAGCCGTAGGTGGCTGGGAGGGGGGTCGTTTCCAGGCACGTGCCGGGGGGTACTATCCTCGTTATCGCCGCCGGCACTGTCGGAAGCGACTGCCCTCGATTTTGTGTGCAGGCAGCCATGCCTCTCGGCATTGTCGCAGCGAATAATGCCGACAAACAGCAGTCGTGTGCCAACCAGATACATAGCCGACCAACGTCGCCGGACTAGCCCCCCTCGGCACCGCCGCCACCGCCTCCTCCACTTGCCACCACTTGCGGAGGTTGTAAATTGCAACTGAGTACAATGATGAGTGATTTTCCCAGAAATGTGACCTGTAGACGTCATCATGTATTCGCGCCCTAAAGCGGCTATATCCACTACGCCTCCTCATATTTACCAATACTGGGCCTGATAGGGATTTCTTTAAATGGCCGATGCTTGGCTTAGGCTGTTGTCGATGGTTTGAGGTCGTTGGCTGCCTCGCTCCGTACCATATTCGCCATTATCGGCACAATTTCCAAATCGTAGACTACTCCAAGAAGGGGGGAGCAGGGTGTCGATTTCGGCTATCGCCAGGCCTCCTATGGGGGCACAGACGACGGAAACAATACCGCACTAACTACAGTCTGGTAACCATCACTAAAACACCGGCCGTCATCTATGCTACCCCCGATTAGTCGTTAGATTGTATATTATTCTCTAATTAATATTTCTAATGAGGTATTCAAAAGTTTCTACTATGACCGACTGTCGATCACATTTAGGTCGATCTTGTCTCACAACTGCGATAACCTTTCGTTTCTGTTCTGCCTTCCCATATAGGTGATACATGATGCCATATTGAGCAGTGCTAGCCCCACACAGACTCAAACTCCGGGCCATAGCACTCTAAATTTAACTGATAAGTTCGACACCTCTTGTCTCATTGCTCCAATTAAGCCTACATTAGGATCTCACCCGTTACCTTAATTTCCTTGGCTTATCCTTACCCGAGCCAAGAAATTATGCTTTATGCTGTCAGTACATATCGTATCCTCGTATATCACGTCTACCCACCCATCGTACCTATCAAACACCTACCCTACCCTGAGACCATGGAGAAATGGCTACCCCAACAAACAGCTATGCCTGTCAACCCACTACACAAATGAAGTTCCAACCATGTCATCAAAAATAAATCCTTCTGGTTCTGGCAAATTTGAATTGTTTCAAGTTGCCTTGTTGTGTTCCCCACACGCTAAAACCTTCTCTCAGGGTCCTGTCCCGCGCGGAGCCGCTCGTGTTTACCATCTCCGGGCGCGCCGAAAGCTGGACCGCCGAGAAACCCAAGGAAATGCCCAATCGGTTTGCCCCGACCCGTCGCCCACGCTACCGGCTGTGGGTGGGGAACCACTTCTGGTTGTTTGTGCTGTTTTTCGGCTCGGTGGGGCTCGTGTCGTTCATCATGCTCGGCACCCTCATCCACTGGCTTCGAGGGCTCATCGTCGCTAGATCGGACCCGCTGCCCCCAGGAAGCCCGCTGTACCCTAATAACGATGCCCTCAAGATTACTACTGACGAACGCTACTATTTGCAGCAAGTAGGGCTCGATTTGGAGTATATCACATTGGTGGCCGACGACGGCCAGGTGCTCCATTTGCACCACGTGATCGACCCTAACGAGCTGACAGAACAGAGAGACCACCGTAAACCTGTTTTAATGCAGCACGGCCTTCTCGCGCTGCTGGGAGCCTATTTTAGCGGAGGTTTTAACTCGTTGGCCTATATCTTTACCAAAGCCGGCTACGACGTCTACTTGCTGAATAACCGGCTGTGGTTCCAATTCGAACACAAGACCTTAGACGGCAGCTTGAAACACAACCAGCAGTACTGGGACTGGGAGCTGCGCGACTTGGCCGGCTACGACTTACCCTGCCACGTGCAAGCGGTGCTTCTGCGCAAGCCCCACCACAAGAAATTGATCTATATTGGCCACTCTCAGGGGTGTACCCAGATGACGATCGCCTTACGTAACCCTGAGTTGAAACACCTCCACCAGCTGATTGAGTTTATCGGGTTTTTGTGTCCTGCTCTTTATCCAGGTAAATTGTTCCACACCCGCTACTTCCTTAAGTTTCTTAGACTGTTACCCCGTTGGCTCTACCGCTGTTTCATCGGTCCCTGTGTGTTTCTCGGTATCTTGGGTACTTGTCGCCACTACTTGGCCACCACCAATTTGTTCGGGGCCTCCGCTTACGGGGTGATGAACTACCTCTTTGGGTGGTCAGCAGAAAACTTTGAGCCCAACACTAAGGTGAGAAACATCCACTTCGTGTTTGTGGCCCTGTACGTGCTGGGGAGACTCATGCACTGGTGGACGCTGCACTGGGTGCTTGAGCTGTTTGCCAACGAGCTTTTGCCTCGCTCAAGTTACCGCGACGACTCCCACTACCGGTGGGTAAACCCCGTGCCTCCCATCAACCGCGAGGCGGAATCCCACCTGTATTTCCCCTTCACTGAACCCTGGTTCGCTGAGACGGGAGTCCAGATCCCTATGGTGATGTTTACCGGTGGTAAAGACTATTTGGTCGACGGGTTGCGAGCGGCTAGCCATATGCGCCACGGAGAACCCAACTACGAAGAAAACCACAATTTCTGGCACTACCACGTCGAAAACTATACCCATGTTGACGTCACCTGGGCGCAAAACCTCCCCCAGGTGGTGGCGGAACCGTTGCTTCGCCACATCAGGGAAAACGAAGCGCGTACCGAGGATAAAGCTAACGAAAAGCAACCCCAACCCACTGATTCTACGGCGTATCTTCGCCAGGAACGCCACACTGGCGTCGACGAGCTCCACCGCACGTTCCTGCGCAGCTCAGTGTACGTTGCCGACGACGCTGAAGAACAGGCCCGCCTAGAACGCCGCATACTGCGACGGGACCGGCGCCGCCTGGAACTGATCCACTCCACCAAATCGGTGAAGTCAGCCAAATCTAATAAGTCAGGGAGATCGGGTAAGTCGTCGCGGTACTTGGAACCAACTAACGCGCCGGCATTACCGCCCACGGCTGCTCCTGACTTGGAAAAGTTTACTGCGCCTCAACCTCCACAACCAGCGTACCACCCTTCGTCGGAAAAACCGGTGGTGGGTGAACTCCCGGCGCTTGCGAAACCAGTGGCCCCGCCGGTGATGAATGCCGCCGCCGGTTAATAATCTGTACTACTAATTAATCTAGAATCGCATTGTGCATTAATCTACAAAAGTACGTTTAAACTTTGGTTGTGGTGGTGTTGGAGGCAATTTAATATAAGCTTGGCTCCAGCTTTAAATCGTCGCTGGAGCATCGTCCGACTTGATAAACGTCGTGGTACTTATCTTTGAGTATATTCGAAGACCGATAGAGCTAAGTCAGCTGCCGTGATGTTCTGAAATGTAGTCCTAAGGGTCAAATTGACTTACTATTCGAGTGTCCAACATTTTATTGGAGTATTTGTAAAGCAGTTTCCTTCTTCAATGTGTAGATTGGTTCGTCACATAAATTGCGTCTTGAGAAACTTCTCATCGACCTGCTGATGCATAACATAGAATTATGTCGTCACCGCTAACGGTTGCGACTTCTGTTCATACTTAACCCAACGTAAGCATTCCGTGGATCGTCGTCTACCAGCCGCATACACGGTTAGTCCAGCAGGAACCATAGCCGTATATCATTGAGTACACTTTGAGGTCAGTTAATTGAATGAAGTTCACAATAGTTCAATTTCAAAGAGAGGCGGTACTTTGGCCAAAAATAATTGACTTCATGCTTCTGTTCTCGAAGTTGATGAAGTACTACCCTTTAAAGAAAAAAAAAACGAGCCCACGCCCGGGTTCGAACCGGGGACCAACAGATTTGCAATCTGCTGCGCTACCACTGCGCCACGTGTGCTTGTGATTTCTTTTTTTGGTTCACTTTTTAGTGTCAAACCAGACACAGCGGAAGTGTCAATTTTGCCGTAGAGACGGGAAAAACCTGATATTTGTGACTCCAGAGTTGATTCAACCATTTATGTGCTGTTTGAACCATGTTTTCCCCGTAATTGCGACTTCATTGAAGACGCGTCGGTGGCGCGCAACATCCATCATCATGTACGGCGACTTGGGCTACAAGCTAGTACTCGATGCCAAGCGGGGACAGGCCAATCCGGGGCTTCTGATATACCAGCTGGATCTTGTCAATGATATTGTCCAGGAAATAAACGATCTCCATCGAGATATGAGCTTCTTGGAGCAGACGAGCGACGACTCCAAAGTGGCCCAGTGCCAGACGTTTGTCACCCAGTTGTGTATGAGACGAAATAAGCGGTGCTTGCTTGGCTACCAACGAGCTCGAGCTAGCCGTATTGACGAAGTGGTGTGGGGTGGGAACACCGGTAGTTCCCGGCTGGTGGAGAATCTCAGTCACGCCGAACAGGAGTATTTCCGCCAGTACCAGAACCTCGTTATGGACTACAATGCCCTGTTTCCTGACCTAGATCTTGCTGGGTCGCTTGAGCCGCCGACGGGGATCTTTATCGACGTCCGGGTGCTCAAAGACGGCGGCGAAGTGCAGACGGAGTACGGGTCGTTCAACTTGATCAAAGACAGTCAGTTCTACGTGAGACGCAACGACGTCGAGCGGTTGATCCAGCAGGGATACCTTGAGGAGATATGATGTGATATTTAATTAATTATATAGTGTGATTAGTACCAGCCTAGTCAATAACCATAACGTCACCCTCGGGCTCGGGTTTCACCTCGAGCGTCAGTTCTTGTTTAACCTCCACTGCTGCCACGTCATCGCCAGCTCTGGTTGACGGTGGTTCCACTTTAACCCGCAGCGCTTGGGGCTCCAACTTGTCGAGCTCTTGGAGTTGGGCCTGGAGCTTATCGGCGCCCAACACGGTATTCTTTTGGTCAACGGGGATGGGGAGAATCATCACGTGGTCCCGATTATCGTAGACCCCGATGTTGTCGTCCATCGCCTTCACTTCCTTGCGCAAATCGATGGCAATGGTGCCGAGAAGGGAGTAGATCTCCTCGGTGTCGCTGACGAGGGCGTCGCGATCGTTGGCGGTATAGTGGGAAAATAGGGTGGAGAACTTCCCTAGCATGTCGACGATCTTGGCGTCGATCTCCAAGAGCGAGTCGAGCCGCTCCTGGATGTAGGTGTCTGGCATCGTGACGACGGCGGTTTGATGAGACAGTGCGACCAGATATAACAGTACGGAACATCGATGGAATTTGGAATAAATTTGCAACAAGAGAATAGGAGATTTAGATGTTAGTGCTGGCTCATTATCCAATTGATTCAATTTGATTTAAATCAGTGGAAATTGAGTATATCGGGAATAGTGTAAATGGGTTTTATTGTGTCTTATTTCAATAACACATTTTCGAGGTGAGTTGTATTAGTTCATTGGTTTATTTTGAAGCGAATGAGGCTAGGTTTAATTTCACAAAAAATCGATATGTCGAAATTTCGATTCACCTACAGTTTGATCATGGTGGCCTTAGAGAAATACGATCTGGTTCATGTGTAACGTAAATTATTTGTAAGCTGGGATACGAAAAAAAAAAACTATGGTTAACTAAAGTTGCGACGGACTGAAACCATTTGTTTTGACGTGCCTTTGCAAATTGGACCCATTTATGTTTGGTGATGAAGTTGATTTATAACTGAAGAGCTTCTAGAATGAGTTCAGTTTCCGCTGGACTCCCTTCAATGCAATTGTGAACAAAGCTATCAAAAATTCCTTTTTGTTAGCAATTGACTGCTAATAGGTGATCCCAAGAGGAGTCAGAGTGTTCTTTGAAGCATTTCTAGTCCATTCAATACTTCCACTGAGTTATCAAAGCGCGTTTGGCAGCTGAGTTTGGCACCGCTACCATATATCACAATTGATACCACAAACACGTGAGGGCATCTCCAAATCCATTGACAATTTGACTAGCTTACTACTATCACTAAAGTGAACTTGAACTAGTTCAGAATTGGTTTTTTTTAAGCGTATTTATTGCTGGACTTGTGTGTGATATATTATCCATGGCGGGTTTAGGGATTTTCTAGTCGCACGCCGCGCGCTTAATATTACCCGCCATTGTGAGTTAGCCATCATCACTATGGACTCCCAAGGGCCACAAGCGGTGGACCTTCCCCAGGAGTTACTCCTGGATGTTTTCTCGTACCTTGGTATTGGGGATACCTGCCAGTTGTACCTCAACCTTCGAGTGAACCAGCTTCTCCTCGAAAAGCGTTCCCATGGTGACGAGGTACCTACAGACGTGGAGCATCAATTGCGTTCTGTGAGCAGGCTCATGGGTTCGATTGCTGAGTACCTTCAAACGCAACGTATTAAGGTCTCGATCGAGAAGGTTACCAAGGGCGATAACACCAAAATCAGTACCAAGCAATACGCAGGGCTTCCACCGTGCAATATCGAGGTGAAAACCCCACTCTCCGAACTCGACCTCACCAAAGATTATCTCCAAAACGTGGAATACACGCTGTTGGCGTTGCACGTCATGCACATGTTCTACGATGAGTCCGTGCCCACCGACCTCGGAGGTCTCAAGGGGAACGTCACCGAGATGAAAATCGAGGGAAACATGTTGATCGACCCCAAGGATATCCCGCTAACCGTCACCAGACTCGAATTGAATTGCTCTGTTAAGCTGCCCCAAAACTTTGACCATTTGACTAATTTGACTTACGTGAGATATTGGCCTGTTCCTGACCAACTCACGTTGCCACAGCTGGTGACGACTATACTAATGCCTAGTGATTCCGAACTGCCTCCATACGATGCATCCGTGCTCACCAATCTTAAGCGGGTTAAGGGTGGCAGTTTCGTTAATCCGCGCTGGTCACAACTCGAGATAATCAAGTGCCCTCTTCCCAGTGACTGTCACCATCTCAACCTGTTGAAGGAGATTGAAATTGTTGATGATTACAAAAGTTTCAAAGACATTGAGTGTCCCCAGCTCACGAAAGTCATCAAGAGCGATTGTCCCACAAAAAATTGTAACATTACTGATGTGTTCACGGAAGAACAACTAGGTAACTTGCTGTTTATCAAAGGCTACATTGTCCCTCTCGATAGCTTACACTTACTCAGTCAGGTGACGGTATTGCACACGAAGGTGGACGTCACTATTGATGAGCTCTTTCCGTTGCCGCCACGCGTGGTTGACTTTGCAGTCATCCTGAGTCAATCTGTCGTTGGCATTCCCAGTCAGCTCAAGCTGTTCAAATATACATATTCTGGCGTGTCTGAAGATGAAGCCTCCGCTGACGTGCAAATTGTGTCGACGCTGGTTAGCAAGGTAGACGTCACCCACGTCAGAAATTTGATCATCGATTGTCCTAGGTTGACTGACTTGAAGTTGCTCAAAGTTGACCTGGTTGTCAGACTTGACGCTCCCAATTTGGTGAAATTGTTCATGGGTCTTGTGGACGTGCCTGTCGAGACGTTTCCTCGGCTTGGATATCTTGATATTTTGGGGGTGCCTGAATGTGAACCGGTCAAAGATGTAATTGTTGGCCATCATCTTAAATTCGTGAGAGTGTTGGGCAAAACTTTGGGCAAGGTGGATATCTCAGCGGATTGTGCTTTAATTCAGAGTTGTCGATTCCTGGACGAGACGCCTCGTATCTCCTCAAGGATCCTCTTGATCAATGACATTTTATACGATGCTGATGGCGAGTCCATAAAGATTCCCAACCACATGGAGGTCCTTATGTCGGGGCAATGGTGGAAAGGGAACCTCTACAAAGATTACTGTCCTGATTTTGAGATTGATCATGAAGGAGAAAATTTTTAGCGAGTGCATACCATGGTGAAGCCGTGTCGAACATTGTAGTTATTGTAGGTGCGTAGAGTTTTGATCACAACTCATAGAGTGAGTCATTCTCTTCGTGAGCACAACTATGTGGCCAATTGAGTCCCTACTGAACGGGATTGTTCATCAAACTCAACGCCACATTTTAGACAATTTTACATTGTGATTTTTCTATTTCGCAAATCTCTTTTTTATGGTTTTCTTTATGGTAGTGTGAGTTCGGGTTTATCCGAGGTGCGGATATTGCCGTGCGCTGCCTCTGGCCTCATCTCCCCCACAATATTAGCGCCAACCACCACCGTCCACGCCCGCCATGCCCATTGATCTTGGGTTGCTGAGGGTGCTTGTCCTTCTAAAGCATCTCAACAACCCCCAGATAGCGTTTCGAGCCATCCACGTCGCTGGTACCAACGGTAAAGGGCTGACGCTCGCCTACCTTCTGCTGATCCTCACCGCCGCCAACGTCCGCAATGGCCGGTTCACGCTGCCTCATATGCTTTATTATAACGACTGTATCCATATAAACGGTGAGGTTTACCCATTACAGAAGTACCGCCAGATCTCCGACCTTGTCGTCGAAAAAGACCGTCTCCACAATATCGGGTGCACCGAGTTTGAGCTTCTAACGGTGACTGCATTTAAGATATTTGAGGTGGAACAAGTGGACGTGGCTTTGATTGAAGTGGGCCTCGGCGGAAGGCTAGATGCTACCAATGTTCTCCCAGGTTTTGATGAAAGTAAAGGCAAAGACACTGGGGGTGTAATTGCCTCGGGTATTACCAAAATTGCTCGTGATCATGAGCTGTTATTAGGTGATACGCTTACGGCAATCGCCGGAGAGAAAGCAGGGATTTTGAAGTCGGGAGTGCCGTGTGTGGTTGATCTGACTAATGAGGATGAAGTGCTTGACGTGGTACGAGCCCGAGCTCACGAGCTTGGTTGTGCTATAGATGAAGTGCTGACCACTGATTTGATAAGCTACTCGCCGTTGGCTGGAAGCTATCAGCAACAAAACTTGGCAGTCGCATTAGGGCTTTTGAAAGCTGCACGCATCAATGTACCCCATCAGACGATTATTGACGGTATTAAAAACACTCATTGGGCCGGTAGGCTTCAGCTGATTACCGTCAAGGAGCTCCCCATTCTCCTAGACGGTGCACATAACGAAAACGCCGCCATTGAGCTCGGCAAGTACCTCCAAAAGTTTCGTCCCAGTGGCATCATATTTGTGGTGGCGATGACTTCGGGTAAGTCGATAGCCAAGTTGCTTAAGCATGTCACCATTAAGGATAAGGATACGGTGGTTGCCACTACGTTCACTACACCGGAAAACATGCCGTGGATATCGTGCTACCCTACGGAGGAGTTGGCTCGTCGAGCCGGTAAATACGTTGACGATGTCGTACAATCATCAGGGGTACTGATTATGGAAACATTGGATACAATTCGCCAACGCAAGGAGAAGGAGAACGATACGCGGCCTGTGGTGGTGTGTGGTTCGCTTTATCTCTGCGGTGACGTGTTGCGAGCAGTCACCCCTCAATAGACTATAGACACAGGGCTGTTTGTCAATTCAAATCATCTACAAAATCTGTAACATAACCTACGAAATGAAACTCTAAGTCTAATGAAAGAATTTCCTTGGTGGCCAAGGTATGACAGCATCTATACTGGATCCTCACCATGCTAATACTAGTTTTCATTGGAAGCGTGAAACTCCACGTCCAAGTGGAATATGAAGATGTAACAATCGCATAGTGAGATGACTGATGATCGGTTTAGCCCATAGGATACTCCCACTCAGCTAACTGATACTATACACTAGGCTTTGTGATGGAAGTGACTCAAGTATTTTAGGTATCTAAGAATTTTTCAAATTCGGTGTTATGAAATTTCATTTCTACTAACTTATAAATGATTGCAGCCATGTTGCCTTTTTTGAAATTGTAACGATGAATTTAGTCGTAATTGTTAACCCCACGGGTACGTAGGCGGGTAAACGCTCGAGCCAACGAGCTGTGGACGGAGAACCGGCTACTGGTGTCCAGAAACGGTGACGACGGTGGCGACATGCCGTAGCAGTAGTAGTGGGTACAATTGTGTGGGGTAAGCGGACACAAAGGGACGGTAGACGAGGACACGGAAAGACGACGAGGCGCCGGCGGCAAGCAAAAACAGAGAAAGGACATGGATGTGGTATTAGTATCAGTTTGGTCTAAACCAGCTTATATATAATTCGGCTTGAGCATTGGTTTAGTCTGTAGTGGTTTTGCCAGAGTAGATACACTTGCCACAACTTGTGCATTGCACGACCCTGTAACTGCCATCACCAGTTGGGTTGCCAGACGCGTCTCCATCCTCATAGTAGTGCGCGTTGATTATCACCCCATACAGCACTCAATCGACCAGCTGCTGTCGCCGTATACTTGCTACGTCCCCCCTTTTGATCTTCCCACCAACTAGTTTTTGATTACCGGCCCGGTAGCAACCACCACATCCACAAGCTTGCTTTCACCCTCATCTCACACCCGCCATGGCGCTTTCGGAACTTGAGAAACAGCGCCAGGAAAACATCAAGCGGAACAAGGAGCTTTTGCGTAAGCTCCAGCTCGACTCGTTCACTGATGACATCACCAAGGAAGTGGCGAAAGCCGAACCGAAAAAGCGCAAGCCCACTACGGAACGCAAACCTCGCAAGCGAGAGGCGGACCAGCCCGTACGTAAACTGAGACGTTTGGCGGGGGTTAAGACAGAAAATACTGAAGAGTATGCTCGTCTTCAGGCGGAACAGGAGGAAGAAGAGCGTAAGCGGAAGGAGATGGAGAGGCTTAAGCAAACAAGACTCTTTGGCGACTTTAAGCTCATTGATTTGATCACTGACAAAAGGGGTAAAGTTAAAGACGAAGCTGACATTGACGACGACGACCGCAATCGCATCCAGCAGGTATTGGACCGGGTGGGTGACCGGATTAGTTGCGGAGACTTTCACTCGGAAATCAGGGACTGTAAAGTGCTTAGCGATAAGGACTTAGAGGCTAAGCGTCGTGAGTTTGATAAGCTCCACATTTACCAGAAGTTTGACCCACTTTCGATCAAAATCACCCCTAATCGGGTCCATCTGATTGCGTTTCACCCGCTGACCACCAACCGCTTGGTCATTGCCGGCGACACTACGGGTTCTGTGGGTATCTGGTCGGTCGACGACACTACTGAACGTCAAGGCAAAGGCGATGTTGAAGAGGTGGAGCCGGCAATCACCTTGTTCAAGCCCCACGGGAAACTGGTGCTGAAGATTGTGGTGCTGGAGACGCACCCGCTGGATGTGTACACGGCTTCCTACGACGGTCTGATCCGCAAGTTCGATTTGCACAAGCAGAAACTGGTGGATGTGGCCTACGTATACGACCCGTGGGAGGACAACGCTGAAGACTGGCCATTAGGGGTGCTGGACATCAACTGGTGCCACGATAACCCTCACGTGCTCTACCTCACCACCCTTGAAGGCAACTTCTACCGGTTTGACACTCGAGAAGAGTTTAAGCTTGAAGCCAACCAGTTGTTGCGTTGTCATGATAAGAAGATCGGGCTGTTTGCCGTGAACCCTCGTGTTGGCTACCAGATCGCCACCGCGTCGTTAGACCGGCTGATGAGAGTGTGGGATCTCAGAAACGTCGGCCAGTGCCACTGGCTGGAGTTTGCTGAACAAAAGTCGCCTCACCTCTACGGTGGGTTCACCCTGAGGCTTCTGGTGCTGTGTGTTGACTGGAACCACGACAATCGACTTGTGTTTAACGGCTACGACGATAAGATCCACCTCGCTCATCTTGACGGCGCCAACGACTGGCTGAAGACCTATACTATCGGTAACGGCAACGCTAACCCGAAAACCGCTGAGGATTTACCTTTGGACACTATCAAACCCTACGAGACTATCCGCCACAACTGTCAAACAGGACGCTGGGTGCTGATTCTTAAGCTGAAATGGCAACAACGCCCCGCTGACGGCGTGGAGAAGTTCATTATTGCCAATATGAACCGGGGGTTCGACATCTACGACCAGCAAGGGCGCATTCTCGCCCACCTCAACGAGGACGTCGGCGCCGTCCCCGCGGTGTGCACGATGCACCCCACCCACAACTGGGCCGTTGGTGGCAGTGCCAACGGCAAGGCGTACTTTTTTGAGTGAACGCTTGTGATATTTCCGCGAATGTGTAATTATATTTTTTTCCTGGCGGCAGTTTCGTGATTATGGATTTAAGCTTGAGAGACACTGGTTGGCAGAGAGACGATTGTCAACAGAGAGTGTGGGAGAGAGACAGAACACGATGGCCTTCTCGACTCGCCACAATAGGCTTTTGCCGGGGTTTGGCAGAATGCAAGCAGCAGTTAAGGTGCTTGAAAACAATGGTTTTGATGCAATTTTACCCCCGAGGACCTAGACCTTAATTTACGTGGGGACGAGGCCATTTAGTCATATGTACGATCGGTCGTTTGGTTGCTGGCCTGGTTTCCCAATTAGGGTGGGTGCCGACGGGGAAAAAATTTTTCGGAAAATATCCACATAACCCCGAATGACAAACAACCGGTGCGCCATCTAATTGTTGGAAGGCGTCAAGAAGGAGGCTTAGCACGTCCCCATTCGGAATTAAACCTCAGGTGGCGCCCCGGGCATCGACGTGCACCCGAGCAACATCACGTTCAAGCCACGATTTACCCGTAATAAAAAAACCCCTAAAAATTCAGGGATCTACAGCGTTACCGGGAGCCAGAAAGGGCCACGTTGCCATTGTGATTAGGGGAGAAACAATTCACTCAGATCACGTGCCCGTTCGTGTTCCCTGCACCCTGGATATAATCCCCCATTGATACGATTACTCGTAGTAGAAGGAGGAGCCCGGCGACATCCGGCGTCATAAACAAAAAAAAGTTCTTGGCTCTGTAGGGCCGCCAAATGGCGAAAGCAAAAGCGCAAAATGGACGACACGACGACGCAAGTTGTCGTTCGCTTGCCCTCGCCGCTTTTGTGGCGTGGAGTTTAGCAGGATCGACTCGACTACTCTCTCCATCTCTGTCTCTCTGATTGATCATCGCAATGCTGTACATGGTAGCGCCGCAGGGGTGGCGCAAATTAGGCTAGATGGAGGTGGTGTGGATCAGTCAACTGACCAGGGCCAATTATGTCACCACCCACTTGTACAATGGCCAGGAGAGCCATATACCGTATAAGAAGGGCGAGATAAGCGAGTTTGACAACCACACGTTTATGGATACCACCCCGTTAGCGTCGTCGGTGACTTACTCGCCGCGAGCAATGCTAGTGGACTTTCGGGACAACTGGGGGCTGTTGAACAAGTTTGAGTACTTTGACAGAGGCGACGGCAGCGATGTGGTGGCGGTGGGATCAACTCCCGACCATTTCCGACGCCATTTCCCCGAGAAACACCCGTACCAAGTATCGCTTGATCAGGGCACTACCACCGAAGGCAAGCTTAATCTGGGCAATGTGAAATATTGGCTGGACTTCAATAAGCTTATTTATAACCCTCGCCAGTTGATATCTGTCCCCGATTACGTGAGTGACCCGGAACGGCCCGGAAGAGGTATCCACCGTTATTTCGCCAAAAACCGGTTTGACGCCTACCATAAGGGAGTGGAGCAATACCAACAGACTCGTGACGATGCCGACGACGCGTTCCGCCACATGCTTGAGCTGTGTGACTCGTTTCAAGGGCTCCAAGTGGCGCTGGAGGTCGATCTGAGTTGGGGCGGGTTTACGCTGGCCCTAACCACCGATGTCGTCGACGAATACTTTAACAATAATAATAAGGTGACGTTGTGGACGTGGGACATGCTGCTGTCTGATTTGAGGCTTGATCCATTGACTAGAATACTGAAGATCAGACTGGCAGTGGAACATATTCTGGTCAGTTCGCTTGTGTTTAGAGTCGAACCGCACTGGAAATTGGAGCAATTGGGAGCGGCGTTTGACCCGCAAAGTCTCTGGCACTCGTCGGCCATAGTGCTGGCGTGGATCAATGGTATTTGGGGGGTAATCAATAAGCTGCTGCGACCAACGCTGATGCTGAATCTAGAGGATGCCGTGACCAAGGGGACCAAGAGAAACGTCATTAATCGCCTAGCGATGGATATACTGAAGGAAACTGAGTCTAATACTGGTGGTGTTGACCTAAATGGCTTATCTTCCATGCCGATGGATGTGGACCTTTCGACGTTTACTGCTGCTCCCGTGGCAGAGAATAAAGCCACACTGACAACCGTCGAACTAGGGATCAATCAGGGTAAGGCGAAGACGGTGTACTCGTCTAATTATATCAATAATGATGTGGAAGGAGCCAATTGTTATACTCACCCAAACCTCAATGAAATGACGAAAATTGACTCATTTCCTCAAGGTGTCTTATCACTGATCAATTGGCTTGAGTTTTCCCTGACGCTGGAGCTTTCCGTAGGTCTAAAACAAGACCGGGTTTTCCTTCAGAGGTCACGTGGGTACCCTGGCATCGATCTTGAAGTTGACGATACCGGTGAGCTTATCGAACAATTACTGGCAATCATCGACGAATACAGCGACGGCAATGACGACAGCGACGACGACTGGGATGACTAATTATGTCTCAGTATAATTAAATAAAAGATCAATTATAAGATCAATTATAAAATCAATTATTAGATTAATTATAAGATCAATTATAAGATTAATTGTAAGATCAAATATAAGATTAATTATAAGATTCTTTGCAAGTAATTACAAGTAATTACAGTTAGCTATGATTAATTACGTCGCCCAAACCCCGAGCTAAGCGAGTGTGGAGCGAAGCTTCACTTGCGGGCGCCGCGCTGGCGGCGCCTCGATCGCAAACGACAAATTGCGCTCTTGCCGCAGGCTGTCATGTGAAGTGCCATGTAGGGTGGGTTTGGGTAGTTTGAGGGAGGCGATGGGGTGCGACGCCCGGGCGCTAAAGGCGCGATGATGGGCCATCGGGGGCGAGTGGGGCGATCGCCGGTAATCCAGTTTGTGGCGTTTGTGTCGAATTATTGTACTATGTTCTCGAGGGCCGGGTAATATTTCCGGGTTTTTTTTTTTTTTACGTTGTTTTTTGTTTAGGGCTACGGCACTGCGGTAATCCTTGTAAACAGTACAGGGTGCGTCGCCATGCGCGGGCATTTTCCCCGTCCATCCCCGAGCTCCGAAGAATGGGGCATTTATTGCTTATGTCTCGAGGGGGTAGGGGGGGAATACGATGGGGTGGCGGCTCCGATAAAACCTCGGAATGGAATTTGCTTACACCCGGTTACCTCCGAGGTATCACTCGGATCATGAAGAGGGCATGGCAAATAATTAGCAAATGTCTCTCGCAATGATGTCGCGCAGGATTACCGGCTCCAGGCCCTTATTTGGCGGTGTAGTAGCAAAATT